TCCAAGAAGAAGAAAGCCAAGGTAGAACAAGGAGGTTCCTCCAGCTCAAAGCAGAGCACAGGTAGGTGGAAGTTTCCTGCTTGGAGCTACCCATTGTTCTTCATTATTAGTGTGAATAGCTCCACCCGTGAGTTTTGCTGGTGGTTGTTGTCATTCTTTCCTCGAATTTATGCTTTATTCTTCACTTGCACAGTGTGAAAAAACACATTCGCTACTTCATATATACATTAAGTTTCATCCTGCATCTGGTTTGTTGTTACTTAGTTGGAGGAATCGCTGCCAAAATACTTCATGTGAGGTTAGCTTTGGGTTGTGGGTTTTGGTGCTTGGCGGACAAGCAGTGGTTTCATTCATTTTCTCTGTCTTTGCCATGTTGGATAAGACCTAGAGCAACCTGGGCTAGTCTCCCTAGAAGGTGTCCTTGCCCATGGCAGAGGGGTTGGAATTACATGGTCTTTAAGGTTGCTTCCAACCCAACCCGTTCCATGATTCTTTCTGGCAGGAGAGCACCTAAAACATTTTGTTCACTGTAAATTGAGGGGTCTCCATCCATGAGATTGATTTTGTGTGCTACATCCTGTCTGTCTTTGCATGTTGCAATGAGCAGTTGTCCTTGTTTTACCTTGGGAGCTGAGCTTTGGTCATGAGCACCAGAGCTTCCAGAGGTTTCTGCCTGCTTTGCTCAGGAGCTGTGTCATTTCCCTAGGATGGTGTTACTAGTAATGCTAAACAAGCAGTTAACAAAGCAGTACCAAATTTGTGAGCAAATAAAAAGTGCAGCACCAGGGAGAGGATTTGCTCTGAAATCAATGGCAGCCTTAGGTGCACTTTAAAGGTCAGATTCAATGTGAGGAGTTCCTAAAACACCAAACACTCTGCTGTGCAAACTCAGTCCGTGCTCATGTTTTCTATAATACTCCATGTGACTCTCTCATAAACTCCAAAAGAAACAGTGGAGCTAAAAACAACAAGAGGAAAACGTCAAGGACAAAGGGAGGAGCGAAGCATCTTCTGTCTGAGGGGAAGAGTAGGAAGTTTGCTTGTGTATCTGCAGCTTCTCAGGTACCAAATGAAGTTATCAGCCAGACATCCTCAAATAAATCAAGGGAGGGCAGGTTTCCATCACTCCCTTTGCCACACTCTCCAAAATAAAATCAAATTCCACATGGAATATCCTAAACTGCATCTCCTGCATGAAAGCAGTTTGCTGGGAAAAGGAATGGGGAGGCAGGAAGAGGGTGGAGGGTTCAAATGTGAGTCTGACCTGGAGGATTTGAGCATATGAAGAAGCTTTAATTTGTCTTCTGTGGTTTAGTGGCCTGAAGAGTTTATGTGCTTTTGTGGCTGTCAGACAATTAGCCTACACAAGCAAGGGCACAGTGTGGCTGTGAGGAAATCCACTTGGTCTGTTGTGCTGCTGGCTGTGTTCCAGGCAGCATGGGAAAGGTTTCAGGGTTTCTATAACACTTTTATGCTGCAGAGTCAAAACCCTTTGCCTCAAAACCTGCTTTTCATTTGAGCTGTGACTGGGGTAGGTGGCTGTCAGGGTATGTGGGTGTCAGGGGTGGGTCTGAGGAGGCTGAGTGAGAACTTGCAGTTGAAGAATCCCAGTCCCACCACCCTAAAGAAATGAAAATTAAGATGATCAGTCCTAGCTTTGTTGTGTAGTGACCACAGAGGTGGTAAATAGTGTCACAGTGATTGTGTTAGCGTAGAAAACACATAATCACGGAATGATTATATGGGTGCTTTTATTGAAGAGCTCTGGGAGTCGGGGTACAGACCCAAATCTGACTCCGACATGGTTCTGAGATGGATACATTTTTATACTCTTCTCTTACATAACCATGGTATAGTCATATGTTAATCATTACTTTGCTATTGTTCTATTGATTTCATCCAAGCATGATTCGAGTTCTCTTTCATCCTTGTTATGCTTCACCCGAGCATGAGTTCGAACCCCCTTTTCCATGATGGTGGTATAATTATCTGTTATTTAGAGGGGTACGTACAGATAGGTACCCAGATGTACTTGCACAGGTACATATCGACCTGCTAAGATAATAATCACTCTTCTCATTAAGACCTATTCTAGCTATCTTACCACTAAGGCCTACTTTAGCTACCTTACCACTGAGGCCTACTTCAGCTAGCTTGCCACTAAGGCCTACTTTAATTCCCATGATTTTTAGGAACATTTTATCCCATGTTATCAATTGTGTGTTGGCACTGATAATCCCTGTGTGTGTAGCCTCTGCAGGTCCTCCCTCGAGCTGTGGTCCTGTGGCTCAGAGAACCTGCTCTTGTTGCTTTCTGGGAGAGGAGTGGCATGGGCATAATGCTAATCTGCAAGTGACTGCATAGCTAAATCTGTCCTCTGTGTGAGGACTTCAGTCTGAGCTTCCCAGTCCGAATAGTTATTACTACAGTGATTACTATATAGCGATCACTTTCACTATCTCACATCATTATTCCAACAAGTTAATTGAAAAAATCCCAAACTGCCTCATTTACTCAGTTCAGATTAGCAAATGGAAAATAAATTAAATAGATCAAATCTGTTTGTTTCATTTTATTGATGAATAGTAAGTTGTGGCTATACTCTTAGTCTTTAAGACCTTTGTCTTGGTCTTTCCCAACAGTAGTGAAGAGCTGAAATCTCCAGGGGCTGTTTCATGGGAAGGAATTATCCCAAGTCTCTAGGGCTGTGCGAGTGAAGACCTTTGTCTTCTTGTTCCTTGTGCAGACACCCATTCCCCTTTACAGACCTGTGAAATAAGGAGCTGGAATGAGTCCCAAGATTTGTCATTCCATGTGCTTCTCGGGAAGGCATGGGAACACATTGCCAGAGGAGCAGGGACTGGCCATGTGGCTTCCTGCACACTGCCTTCTTGTGTGCAGCCATGATGAGTGTTCTGTAGGAATGCTGCAAGTTTCCAGAGCACTTGCTTTCAGCAAAGAGATGTATTAATTAGTTCAGTGCATCCTGATGACAGCTCTTGGCTCTCTTGAGCAGGACACTGGTCTTTCAGGGCTGATGTTGTCACATACAGCTGAAGGTAGTGAGTCATTATCACCACTAACATTGTCTTCGCCATATGTCTTGGTGTGAAACCTAAATTATCTTTTACCTGGGGCATCAGCTCCCATTAATTGTGCTTATAGTTTGATTTTTAGCTCAAAGCATTCTCTTCACAGGGGACTGGTCCTGGCAAAGCTGCTCTGTGAGAGGCATGTCTGAGATGAGTGATTGCAGCAGTCCTGGTGTTGTTTTGTGACTGCAGAAGGGAGTTTGCTTCTCCAGGTGAATCACTGGACTACCTGTGCTGGTTCCTAGAGCCCTGGGTGCCTTGTGACTCCATCTCACCAACCAGGAGCAGCACAAATCAGTGATCCAGTCTTGCATTTTGTCCAGCTCTTGCAGAGTTTAGGCATTCTCAACCTGAGAAAGGGAATCAATATATCAAAATAAAGGTAACTATAGGTACTGGCCATGGCACAAAGGTATTTTGGATGTGGATGGACTGCGAGATCAGTTGTTTGTTTGGCCATTAGGTGGGCTTTGTTTCCCTCATCACAGGAATATTATTTGGGATTTATATAGTTATATAGTTACAGATTTTGTCCCACGTTTCTTTGCTCTGGGACATTTCCTGTGTGGTTTCAGGAGTGTGAAAGACTTACCGGGAATTGCTGATAGCTGCACTGTTGGACACTGTTTTTAGAGTTGTCATTTGGAGCTGCAAACTTTCATGGTTTTAAGAAATAGAGACACAATGGAGCCAGCGAAGAAACATCATCTGGTGAGCCAGAGGTATGAGTGTTCAGGTTGTGAGGAAGGTGTGAGTGGGAACTCCTGGGATGTGTTGGCAGGTGGATGAGGCAAGCTAAAGATTCTTTTGTGCGAAGTGAAGTCACTTCTCACCATGCATCCATCCTGCTGTGCCCAGCACAAGGCTGATCCTGGTGTGGCCTCCTTTGTGGAGCATGTTGGCACCTGGAAGCTGCATCCAGGCTGGGTGACATCCCTGTCATCGGTGTGGGAGGTCCATGGCATGTCTGCTTGTGTTCCCTGGCAAGAACTCCATCAGATCCAGTTTGGCTTGGAACAGTTTAAGACAGGCAGGATAGATCCAGTATGTCCGACTCCCTATAGGGTTGTGGTTGCCACAGAGGCAGCAGCCTTGGGGCAGAGAAGTGTCCCCATTTCCTCTTGGCAGTGGTACTTGTATAGTAGGATTTTGTGGCAAGAGTCAGATGTTCTGAAGGCAGTGGGTTACTCAGGTCTTGAAACCCAGAAGTTGTTGAGATTAAATAGCAAATAAGGGAGAATAGTTCTCTGGAACTGGAGAAGGGGAGGAAGAAAGGGTCAAACTGTACCACAGAAGGTTAAAAAATACCATTTCAGGGATACATTTTGTGTTGGCTTAGTTTTCCTCCCACCACCCTCTCTTCTAAAAGCAAGAAACCTATAAGAAAAAGCTGCCCAAGGTAAGAATTCACCCAGTCCTCTCCCATCCGAGGGGTTTCTTGCCATTCAGCCCCCCTCCCATCTTTTTTCTCACTCCTTGTCTGTCTGTCCTGCCTCTGTGTGGTTGATTCACTCAGTAGGAGGACACTGCAGTGTCTTTGCACTGTCTGTGATCAGATTGCTGAGCACTTTTATAAACCCTTTCTCCAGTTAAGCAACACAGTTTTAGGCAACATTTGTTCAGTTGAGTAGACAAAGAGCTATGCTAGTCACTCAGTATAAACAGCAAAAGTTCATTTAAAAACCATAATCTTTTCTTCCCCCATAACATTGCAACAGATTGTCCTTCTGCTAAGCACTTGGAAAGCCTTTGCCAGTCATTCCAGTTCACATCCAGAGATAAAATCACAACCATTGCTGTTCTAGTAAGTTCCCAAAGCAAAAAGCAGGTGACTTGCTCATTTGTAAGGTACAAGAGGCTTTGTTCAAGGTGTCAAACATTCTCCCAAGTGCTGGTGCTGAGTCCTGCCTACACCACCTCTGTTTCCCTCTTCCTGAAGCTGTTCATCATTGCTCTAACAGGATTGGGTTCGTTCTCCAAGTCTTTCACAGTCTTGTTTTTCACACAGCAGCAACAGTCCAGCAGCTCATAGAGGAAAGCCAACACCACCAGAGAAACCACAGTGAAGATGAATATGATCAGGATAACAAAGCAGGCAGTGTTCCAGTTGTCATGGAAAGGGTAAATCTTTTGCACTTGAAAGCCCAGATACTGGGAAATGGATGTAGTCTCATTCCAGTGAGTGCTGTTGAGAGTTGCCATTCTTGAGTTCTCTTGGCGTCCTCACTGTTACGAGTTTGGGGGCTGAAACACGAAAACAAAGCTGTTGAGGACTCTGTTGATCAAAGACATGCTGTGATTTTTATCCCAAACTGTAAGAACTTGAGCCCAGACTAAGTGCTCACACCTCCTACAAGCATGGATTGTTCCATGCTCAGAAACATATCAGATTCCAAATGTACCACTTTATGATAGGTCTGGAACACTTATTTCAGTGATGTCTGATTTCTGATTGTCAACTCTGCTTAACTGCTGGGAAAGGAATGTCTCCCTGGCTGCAGTGCTGTGTGTTTGCACCCAGCAGCAGAAGAGGCTGCTCTATGCTGAAGCAAGAAGTTGACTTCAGCAAATCTGCCTTTGGTTTATAGTCTAGTGTAATAAAAATTGTCCAAGCAGCCACAGGAACTTCTGGTTACCTGTCGGACACAGTAGTAACCTTTGAATCCCTCAGGAAAATTAAAACTGGGTGTGGGAGAAGTAGATGGAGTCAGATCTCCTCTTTCCTTGAGGAAGTAGCAAGGAGTTAGGTGGAACAAGGTGATGATGGTATCTGCTAAAGCAGCTGACTTAAAGCACCTGTCATTATTTCTGTGGAATTAAGAACAAAAGGACATAGTGAAAACCAGGATAATTCATCCGAACCAGCTTGGGATCTATGTCTTATTTTTATTGTTCAAATATTACCCATTTTGTTCCTCATCCTTCTGCTTTTATGGATTGAAACTGAAACAGAACAGCTTTATTGTTGGGAAGGTACCTGGTATTAGCATTCCATACAGACATTTATTGGAGCAGTTGCAGTAACTTACTGTTTCCTCTGTTCAACCTGTAACTGAATACACATATTAGTAGCTGAATATACAAAGTATGACTGAGATGGCACTGAGATGGATAGGATTAATTAAACTGTTTGTTGGGTGGGTTTTTTTTTCCTTAAACAAAAGTTTACAGAGAAAATCCAAGCTAAAAACATTCCTGAGTTGAGTCAGGGCCTGGCTGTGGGAGCATGGTCATGGTCTGAGGAGGAAACTCAGCTGACTTGTTCATGGGGCTAAAAGCCAGGAGGGTTTTTGAAGGGGTGGCTTGAAGACTTACTTTCAGGTTTTTGTGAGAGAGAGGGAAGGGTTGAATAAAAGGATTTGGAGTCCCCTTTGAGGAGTAATTTAAAATAAGCAGGATTTAATTGTGTATTTTACATGGCAAGAGGATATCCTGGGGAAAGAAAGGAGTTCTGTTTTGAACTTTGTAAACAGATTTCTAAGACTGGAATCTGTTACATGTAAGTTTGCTCATCTTGCAGACACCAGGCACAAAACCAAACTGTTTCTGTGATGCAAAATTTAGTGGGTTTAGGGTTTTTTGGTATTTATATTGCTAGAAGTAATGAAGATCTGTGGCAGCTGGAGAGGCTGGTCATGTCTGCATTGCATAGCCAGGCCCCTTTGCCAGCACAGCTCTGTGCCAAGGCTGTAGCTCTGTTCCCAGGAGGAAAGGAGCAGCCTGGGCACGGCATGGCTGCCCAGGCAGGAGCTGTGCTGCTCACTGCTGGCACAGCACAGCTGCCAAGCCCTTCCCACCCCACAGCCACCATGACACACTCAGCTTTGTGCCAGGAGGAGGAATTTAATGCCCCTGCTGGAGGTGGTTGGAGCTCCTTGAGGATGGTGATGATCTCCTTAGGTTTGAAAGAGGCAAAGCAGATAAAGATCAGCTACTTGTAGCTGTTAATTATTACAATTCAAGGCTGAAGTAGCTGTTGCCAGAATTACCACTGCACTAAGGCTGACATCCTTAAAGCTGTCAAAAATGGGCTGATTTCCTGCGGTTTTTCTGATTTTGTAACAGCGCTGTTCAAATTCATCTCATCAGCTTGAAATCAAGTCAGCTATTGTGTGTATCCAGAACGCAGTGAGTTAAATATTTCATGAACTGGCTCCTGTAATATCTGTGCTGGGTTTTAATTTAAAAGCATCATCATCTTTAGCCACTGCAGAGGAGCAGCTTTATTTGAAATCATCTTCATGGAGCAGAGGGAAATGACTGGCAAAAAATCCTTTTAATGCAGTGCTGGGGAAGTCTTGTTTAAGAAACCACTGAACAGACATCTTGGGGTAAAAGCATTTACAAATCTCAAATGGATTCTAAGCTGTCCAGTGTCAATGGCTGCTCCAGTATTTACAAAGATAATAACATACAACTGGATTTTCTTCCTATCACAACATACTACATTTCTAGAACAGGTTTTCAGCACATCCAGGAACACACATTTCAGGCAGCCTAATTTATGGAAATACCCCCATGGGAGATGACATTTCTCACATCTCACGCTGAGCTCTCTTTGTTTTAAAGGAAAATCACTGTCATTTCTGTAAAAAACATACAGACTCAATCACAAGGCATGTGAGGCTGCAGGAAACAAGCCACCTCCCCTGTAAGCATGAAACCCATTTTGTTTACTGAATCTTGGCTGGTAGTGTTAGCTTTGCTGTAAGATGGAGTGGTCATCAATTTTCCATTAGTGCACAGATGGGGAAAGTGCTTCCCTGGTCGTGCAAGACAAGCTCCTCCACCTTCAGCAGTATCAACCCCTCTCATCCTAGAGAAAAATCATGCTGATTCCAAAAAGCTTTTACAGGTTTGTAGCTTACAGGCATGTTTCCTTTCAGTAATCAAGATAAAGCTGAGAGAATGTTATAAAATGATGCACACCTACCTCTTGTGTGAGAGGATGCTGAGAGAGCGCCGTTCTGGTCCCTGTTTTTAGTGCAGCCTATGGCACAGCTAAGATGGAGCTTTCTTACCATTGGCCAGAGCACGATGCTGCTGACAACTTCCTTTGTGCTCATTTGCATCGAGCCCTCAACCCCAGGGGTAAATCATTCATAGAGATGATTCTTACTGTCTGGAATAAGAGGCAGAAGCTTCCCTGCTCTGGTTTCTGGGAGGCTCTTTGTGTGCTGAGCTCGTTAGCCGAGCGCCGCGCTGGGAGTTGTGCCGGTGGCACGACCCTGCTCTGCTTTGTGCTGGGATCAGCCATCAAACCATGACGTTTCAAGTGTTAATATCTGCAGATTTCCAGCCTTTGCCATGTGGTTCCATTCCCTTGCCATGAACTGCAGCAGGCTGTAGCCAGGCAGATTAAACAAGATAATCTTCCTGAGTCAGTTGACAGAACAAATATATGAGAAGTCGTCTTAGCTGTTTGTTGTAACTCTGGATTTGTTTTAATCGCTTCAGACCTCTCCTTGCAGTTGTGATTTTTAATTTATTTATAATATATCCTGCACAGACATTCATTTTTAATGTTAAAAGGGAACCCTGCAGGGGAACATCCCTATGGGCTATGTTTCTAGAGGGAGCTGGATTTGTTTTTCTCCCTTTTTCCGTCTTAATTTAGTAAGCAGAATAAAATGTTCTTCTGTAGCTGGAGTTAACACTGTTCTTTTATGTTAATTTTAGAATGCTTGGGCTATGTAAAGCCTCTAAGACTATGTCATGCAACAGCTTCACAATTCTGTTCTCTCCCTCCACTGGTTTTTCCAGAGAAATATTAGGAGCTTGATGTCTCTGAGATACCTGTTGTCCTGTCAAACGTGGTTAGAAATCACCAGTGGATTGAAAAGTCCTTGTGGTGGCAGAGATAGGATATTCAGAAATAAGAGAGATTCTTCTTCCAGAGTAGCTGAAATCCTAAAAAGCCTTTGCCGTTAGGTTTGGGCAATGTGCTGATATCGGGCCTGTGGCTTTTGGTAGTGGTTTGTGGATTTTTGTGTTTAATGTGCTAATGGCTGAAGTTAAGTAAATAGTCATTAACAACCTTGCCAGAATTTTTGAAACAACACCATACCAACCCTCATGATAAAACCAGAACCAGGCTAGACCGCAGAGAGGATTCTGAGTTGTTCCAGTGGTGCAACACACCAGGTTGAATTGCTTTGAATTTGTGGAGGTCTGTTTAATAAATTCTCCACCAGAGCTACTTTAAACAATAAATAAAATACCGTGTAAGCACTGAATGCCTTGTGGGAATAAGGGGAACTTTCTGTTCCATCTCCACAGCACGAAGCTCTCAGTAGAGCAAATGCAGTGCATTATTTCAGCCTGGATTAATGTAGTGTAAATGAATATGGGGTGTTAAGCCACGGAATTAAACATGTTCTCTTATGGTAGTAATGCTGCAGTTGCTGTTTCCTTAAAGGTCAAGTCCCAATAACTTTATTCATGGAGCTCTGCTCAGAAGTGTCCCAGAGCTGTGTCTGTGAGCTGTGGATCTGGATCAACACGTGTGCTAGGACAGAGTCCTGAGAGTGGCTGCTCCTGCCACAGGTGTCTCTGTCCATAGGTGTCATTCTGAAAGCTTCTGGAAGTAGAGTGAGCAAGAGATGGAGCACAAGAGCCAAGGGGGAGGTGTTGAAGCATCACTGAGCTATTTGTTTTCTCCCTTTGTAGATCACAGCAATGGATCATTTAACTTGAAAGCCCTTTCAGGAGGCTCTGGCTACAAGTTTGGAGTCCTTGCTAAAATAGTGAATTACATGAAGGTATGGTGTCGTGTGGTGTAAAATCACAATGTTTTCATTGGTTATTTATTGCAGTGTTCTTTTTCAGTTACTTACGGTCGCTGAAAGATGCAGAATATTTCAACCTCTCAAATTCCTTTACTGTAGGAGTGAGAATTTCAAGGAACTGCTTGTTAAATCCAACATGCTGTCAGTAAACAGAACTGTCAGCATACTGCTCCATTACCAAAATCCTAATTATCTCAGGTCACTTTAAAACCAGGACAATGAGGAATTGCAAGATGCTTTTAGAATCAAGTCAGCTTTTAGGATTCATGAGCTGTTGATCACAATGAGGTGGAATTTGGTACCAATCTTGACAATTAGTTACTTTAGGATAATCCTTTGTTACTTTTTGGTAATTGAGTTGCTGGATAAAGTGAGTCCAGAACTTTAACAGCTCCTGTTTACCTTTCCAGACTC